CCCCAAAACCCCAAAACCCCAAAACCCCAAAACCCCAAATGAATATATTTGCTATAAATGTTAAATTATTAGAAATTTATCTTTAGAGAACAAAAGAATATATGAATATGTATTTTCTTAGATAGATTGACTCACTGAAGGAGTTCCTCAATAAAGTTTCTCTTAAGAATGATTTCTGAGTCAATAATGACTTTACTACTATGATCATCTTCAAATATGTCAATATCGATGCCCATTTCTCTAAGTTCCCTAAAGTCCTTTCTTTCGATTGCATCACTAGATTCAAAACAGATTTTATTAACTTGTTCAATATTTTTGACATAGAAAATTGTGAATCCTCTCTTGAACTCTTCAGGAAGCTATGTTACATTCTTTTTATTACTGGCAGGTAATACGACTCTTGTTATTTAATGATTTTTGCAAGCTGTAAGTTTTTCTCGGACTCCTCCAATACTTATAACCTCACCTAGAGTAGTAAGTTCACCAGTTAATGCAAGATTTTTCATAACTGGTCTTTAAGTAGCAATTGATACCAAAGCTGAAAAGAGTGAAATACCAGCTGATGGACCATCCTTTGGAATCGCTCCCATAGGCACATGTAAGTGATAGTTATTCTTATCAAAATCTTTTGCGATGTTTTTCTTGGTGAGATAATTGAATACTGCAATTTTGACCACTTCAACACTCTCTTTCATTACATCTCCCAAACGACCTGTATGAGTTAAATGTCCTTAAGGAGCACTTTTCCCCTCTTCATCTTCTTTTACTTCTTTTTTCCCATATTCTTTTTTGACAAATTGAATTTTTAATACTGTACCATAGCCATCATCAACATACGCTAATCCATTTGCTGATCCACAAGGTAACTCCTAGTTTATACCATAGTAATAATTATCATCTGTTTAGGGAACATCTAAGAAGACCTCCAAATTTTTTGTATTTATTTAATATTCCTTTATAACTTTTTCAGGAACCTCCTCTTTATAAACTGATAAATCCTAGCTTTGATCTATAGATGCTGCACCTTCAGTAACTTAGTGCAATTATTATTGTTACTGTTCGACTTATATATCATTTACGTGAGGATCTTAGTTTAGACCAGAGTCTAATTCAGAGATCGCAATTTTTTTGCCTTCTATCTTAGCAACAACCTTTCTGAATATTCTATCGATGCATTTTCTTAAGTTTCTCACACCAGCCTCATGAGCGCAGTAATTATTGACCATTTTAATCAATGCAGCTTGAGTTATCATTATATCATCCATACTTGTTTATCTATCAAAGCCATATTCAGACTAAAATTTAGGAATCAAATATTGTTATGCAATCTAAATTTTTTCGATAGGAAGATAAGCAGGAACATGAATAATCTCAATTCTGTCTAATAATGGTTAGAGCATATGAGCAGTTGAGTTTGATGTACAAATGAAAATACATTCAGAAAAATCGAACTCAATATCAAGATAGTTATCTCTAAATGTATTGCTTTATTCAGGATTTAGTAATTCAAGAAGTGTAGAAGATACATCTCCCTTCAGTGAATTAAAACCTATTTTGTCAATCTCATCAATAACAAATACTGGATTTTTACACTCTAATTTTTACATCTCTTTAACGAATACTCCAGGCTAAGAGTCCACATAAGTTCTTTTAGATCCTTTAACATGAATAGGATCATTTTAACCACCCATAGAGATAACTGTAGTTGGTCTCTTTAGGCATTCTCCGATAGATTTAGCAATAGTTGTCTTACCAACCCCTGGTGGACCTGTTAAAAGTAGAACCATACCCTTTTATGAATTGACTCTCTTATTCTTTGCAATAAATTCTAATATTCTCTCTTTTGTTTCTCTCATTCCATAATGTGTCTTTTCAATCACTTACTTTGAGAATTATACATCCCAAAATGGTTCAACTCTCTTATCCCAAGGTAATCTGAAGACTTGATTCAAATATTATATTTTCCTAGCTGAATCCATATCATTTTTTTACTCTAAAGAATTTATCTCCTCTTGAATTTGCTTTCGAGTTGCTTCAGGCATATTTTTTATTGCGCTAAGTTTCTCAGAGAATTTCGATTTCTCGGATTACTTTGAGTCTTCCAATACTTTTTAGTATGCATTTTCCAAAATTGTTGTCTTTGATCTATCTTTGAATTCATCAGCTGTCTTTTGAACGTAGTATAATTTTTTATCAATAACAGAGTGTAGCTCTTCAAATAAGTAGATAATTTTTCTTGATCTTAGAACTGGATCCTGAATGTTTAAGAACTCTTAAATTTAGGGTCTCACAGCATCATTGTCTTTACTAAAAATTGCCTAGAAAATAGAGAAGTAGTATTAGGCTAATTTATAGACTACTTCATTGAAAGTATCAAGAAAATTTCCTTCAAATGGAAATTTAGCTACATCGAATACAGGTGGCTATAGAGTTTTCGCGACCATATCATATCTATTTAGAATTTCTTGAGGAAGTACGACAAGCATAGAATTGATTTTTTTATTGAACATAAACCATAAATTTTTCAATTCATATAGTTCTGACAGAAGGAGATCTTTGTATTTGGGATCAATTTCATTATTTTGTTAGGGTTAAGCCATTAATTAATCTTCATAGTCCTCTGCCATACAGAAATTAGAGACTTCATCATATGATTTAATCACATATCTCTTGCTTGAGTTTGACTCTACAATTGTAATGTTATTTTTCTTTGCAATTTCTATTTCAATTCCTACAGTGCTGACAGCGTTATCATTACTGTTATTTTAGAAGTGAACTCCGATAACTTTTGTTATCTTGTCTTTGTCTTCCTCGTATTTTCTTAAGAAATCTTAGATGTATTTGTTTTGAGTAAGTGGAAACTTTGCAAAGGGGAGTATTGGAGAATTGAACTTTAATGTGTATAGTTGATACTCTTGCTTGACTGGAATGGTTTCTAGATCTTTCTCTATTTCAATACCTTACTTTGCTTTATTTTTTCCTTTCCTCACCTTTGTATCAGCTTTGACAATTACTTTTTCTGATTCATCAGACTTTTTGGTTGATTTTTTAGATTCTTTTGCTACTTTGACTTTCGGGGTCTTTACTTTCTTAGTTAGTTCATCGCTTGGATTATTATTAGTTCCAAATAATCTAAGTGGTAATTGAATCAAAGATGGTTGAGCTCTATTTATTTGGAGCATCATATTATGTAGAGCTGGAGACTAGGACAGAACTCTAGATGAAACTCGAGTTCTAAGGACGTTTAATCCAGTGATTTTATACATTCAAAATTAATATAATAAATCAACCATAATCTCTATTATTTATTCGCATGGGGTTTTGGGGTTTTGGGGTTTTGGGG